TGCGCCCAGCGGCGGCGGGCGGCAGCTGGCCCTGAGCTGCGTCCCCTGCCCACAGCCGCTGGTGCTGCACCAGGACAGCAGCGTCCTGGAGTCTCGGGACCTGCGCCTGGAGAAGCGGACTCTGTTCCGGTGAGAGGAGCCCGCCTGCCAGTGTCCGGGGCCCCTGCTGCCCTGCCGGCCAGGCCCCACCAGGCCGGCGCGGCCCGAGTCTGGGCCAGAGCACTGTCCGCCACTGCCCGGGGACGGGGCGGCCCCACGCAGACCCAGGGGTGGAGGGCGCTCCCCCTCCTGCCCACCCGCAGCAGGGAGGCAGCCCAGGCGCTCAGGCCGGCAGGGCTCTGGCCACGTGGGCATGGGGAATGGTCCCTGGGGGGACCGGGGAGGCCTGCAGACCCCCGCCCTGCTCAGCCGGGCCACCCTCGGTCTGGCGCCGGCCCCGCAGAGCCCGCCCCGTGCTCTGCCCAAACAGGCTGGACCTCGTCCCGATTAACCGGTCAGTGGGGCTCAAGGCCAAGCCCACCAAGCCGGTCACGGAGGTGCTGCGGCCCGTGGTGGCCAAGTACGGCCTGCACCTGAATGAGCTGGTGGCCCGGCTGGTGAGTGGCCTGCCCTGGGGCTCCTTGTGGTGCCCGGGGGAGGGGGGGCGCGGGCGCCCCGCTTCAGCCCTCACCGAGGCTGTCTGGCTTGGGGTCCCGGTCCCCAAACGAGAACAGGTCAGCGCCCGAGACACCCCAGCTCCCGCGGCCTCGGCAGGTCTGCGCCCACTCCAGGTCCGGCCCGTGGGGCCATGGGCCCTTGGGCACCTCGCCTGGAACGGGCGCCGTGTTCACGGGCGCGGCGAGGGTGGCGCTGCCAGGAGCCTTGTCCTGGAGAGGCCGCCCAGCGGCGGTGACCCTGGGGCTCTCGGGCCGTGGCGGTCCCTAGAATTGGCCCCCTGAGTGTTCAGGGGCTTTGGGGGGGGGCAGTGCCCTGAGAGTGATCCTGAGGCCTCCCCGCGGCCCAGCAGGGCTCTGGCCAGCAGGGTGTGGCCTGGCCGCGGGCTCCAGAGCGGGGCTGGCCAATGTGCTCCCTGTTCCTCCCGTGGGTGGGTGCCATGGCGGTGAGCTGCTGTGGCCTCCTGACCTGGGGCTGGCCAGCAGCCAGGGCCGTTGCCCTGAGCCACAGCCCTGGCCCTCCCCAGGGACAGCAGCCTGGCCCTGGCCGCTTGCGGGGGCCCTGCACCCCAGAGTGCCCAGAGGTGCCCCCGCCGGCCAAGGCATAGCAGCTGTCCTGGGGAGTTCTGGCCGGGGGATGCCCTCAGCACCACCTGTGCCTCCAGAGTGGCGAGAAGGAGCCCCTGGACCTTGGTGCTCCCATAGCGAGTCTGGATGGACAGCGGGTCATCCTGGAGGAGAGAGACCCCTCCCGAGGAAAAGGTGGGTGAGGCTGTCTCTGGCCACTGCCCCTCCGCCCCCCTCCGGAAGGCCCCGGCTCCCCTGCCCCCCACAGGCGCCTCCTTGGGGTCTTGAGCCTGGCGACCCCGCAGCAGCCTCGGGTGCCTGGTCATCTGACGGTGACGGGGCCCTGGGCTGCCTTTGCGCGGCAGTTGGGGGTGGGCCGCAGCCCCGGTGCTCTGCCCACTGTGGGTGGGGCCTGCTCCCGGGTCCCCCAGGCCTACCCTGGCCGCAGTCAGCTGGGCCCAGCAGGAGCCGGGTGGTGGGCTGGATGTGTCGGTGCCCACATCGGTGAGGGGCCATCCCCCTCACGCCACGGCCGCAGCCCTGCCCAGGGCCCCAGCTCAGCCCTTGCTTGAGGGCAGCGGCCAGCGTGTCTCTGGGAAGATTTCTGGAACCCTCCTCCCGTTCCCGGGTGCAAAGGAGGCTGCCCAGGAGCTGCCCGTCCTCCCTGGGCTCGGCCCCAGGAGGTGGGGAGGGCTCCCCTCCGCCCTGGGCCCAGGGGAGGTGCTCCCGCCCAGCCCGGAGCTCCGTGGGCGGCCCGGCCTGCGGCCTGAGTGGAGCTGGACAGGGGCCTCTCCCTGGAGACCTGCTCTCGCCCGCACAGACCGGTGGGTGGTGGTGCCAGCCCGGTGGCCATGAAGCTCATCCCCTGTGTCCGGCCCACAGATAAGCAGAAGAGCGCCACCGGCAAGCAGAGTGCCCTGTCCGGTGCTGGCCCCAGAGCCCACGCGGCTGCGGTAATCCCCACTCCTCCCCACCTCCATGCCCTCCGCGCCCCGCTCCTGCGCCCGCCAGCCTGCGGGTGGCCCCCGGGGTGTCGTGCCCCTCAGTGCCGCGGCGCCGCCCTGCCAAGGGCGGTGGCTGGCCGGGGGGTGGGGCGAAGCTAGTGGGCAGTGCTGGCAGCTGTGGGCGGGGGCTGGCCAGTGTGGGCCGGGGCCTGGCGGGTGGGCGGGGGCTGACTGGTGTGGACAGTGCTGTGCCCGTGGGCAGCAGCCGGCAGGTGTGGGCTGGGGCCGGCCAGTGAGAGCGGCACTGGCCGCGGACAGGGCTGGCGCGTGTGGGCGGGATTGGCGGGGCCTGGGTGGTGGGCGGGGCCTGCACGGTATGGACAGGTGACGGGGTGGGCGGGGCTGGCCGGGGTGGGCGGGGCCTGGCAGGTGCAGGGCTTCGGGGGTCCCTGGGTGAGCGGCACCAGCGTGAGGTTGGCGAGTGGGCGGACGTGTGGCTTTCCTTCCAATGCAGGGAGAGGAGAGGACACTAGGCAAGTCTAATTCTATTAAAATAAAAGGAGAAAACGGAAAGCACGCTAGGGAGCCCCGGCTTTCAAAGAGAGAAGACTCTATTGCAAAGATTGGGGGAAAAAAGTATCAGAAAATTAATTTGGACGAAGCAGAGGGTATGTGTGCTTTTTACAACTTCCATGTTCTGTAGCCAGTGCCGTGTCCGTGGTCACCGGCTGCGCCCAGGGGCGACGCCACTGTCGCTCCCGCTCATCACTGGCACCCTGCTTCCAGCCGCGGGCCGCGCCCCTCACAGGGCGCCCGGCGAGCGCTGGCCCGGTCCGCACCCAGGGTCCCCTGTGGGCGGGGCCTGCGCGGGGCCCCAGCACCCTGGGCGGCAGGAGGGGACCCCTCCGCCTCTGCTGTGGAGACGCCGCTCTCCGGCGCTTGCCGTGCGACACCGCCATGCCCAGGCGCGTGGGCCCTGCTGCTGGTCAGGCTGGGCAGCCCCGAGCGCCGGGAGATGAGCGCGCCCCGCTCCTCGCTGTCCCGACACTGGCGTGTAGCTGACAAGAGACCGCTGGACTTAGCCGCCCACTGCCCCAGACAGTGGGCTTGGTCACAGGGAGAAGAGGGCTCTGGACAGGTCAGCGAAGGGCCAGGCACACAGCCGACCGGGCGGGGGGTGGGCGCCGCTGCCCAGGACACCGGCCAGGATGCCAGGGAGCAGAGCCCCCACGCCCACGTCTCCTCCCGCAAGCGGGTCTCTGGGCGCCGGCGGGTTGGTGGGCCCAGGC